TAAACTCTCCAAACGTAGATCTACGTTCACGTGCGTAGCACTCCGACCTTGATTTTCCCCATTTGAAAGCATGTAAAAAAAAACGTAGATCTACATTCGGAGCCCCCGCACGTGGATGTACATCTACGTTTGGACAGTTTAAGGGTTAAGAGGGAATTTGGGGAAACTGGTTAGCCGGATGAATCCTGGAGGTGGGAAATACAGTACCTTGACGCTGAGGAAGGGATGGGGGATATTGCAGTTCAGAAGGGTCATGTCTACATACTTCTAACAAAACAGCTATTGCAAGAATGATGATGATTTTTTTTTTTTGGGGGGGGTTCATCTTACTTGGGTGGAAAAATGGCTGATGTGTTATAAAATAATCACCATTTCTTTACATTTGGCTCACAGTGCAGAGGAAATGAAAATACTGTGGGTTTTGACTGTTGATGCAGGAAACACCTGATTTAATCCTATCTGTGTGAGGGGCCTGTCAGGTGATAAACAACATATTTATAAAGTGTATCTGATCGTTGTCTGAGTAGAAGTGGCTGTTAACCCGTTAACTATCCAAACGTAGATCTGTGTTTTCGCGCGTAGTGCTCTAACCTTGATTTTCTCCACAAGAAAGCATGTAAAAAAATAAGCAGATCCATGTTCAGAGTGCTACATGAGCGAACGTAGATCTACGTTTGGACAGTTAACGGGTTAAACATGGGGGTAAGTTGGTAATCTGAATCTGGTCATGAGTGCAAGGCAGTCATTAAGCAGGTTTCTTTCAGTCGTTATTCAAAATTACACTATGTGAATGGTCATTAAATTGGGTCCTACTGTATTCAAAAATCTTTCTTTCTTTCTTTCAATGCACCAACCATATCCCACTGAGGTGGGGTGGCCCAAAAGAAAAAACGAAAGTTTTGCCTTTTAACCCTTTGACTGTCGCAACCCCCAATCCTGAGGTGTCTCCTGGTGTCGCAAAATTTAAAAAAAAAAAAATTATTTTTTCTTAAGAAATGATAGAGAATCTTTTCCCAATTGTAATGACACCAAAAAAACGAAATTTGATGGAAAACTGACGGAATTATGCTCTCGCGAAGTTAGCGACTTCGGCGCTGTTTACAAATTGGCGATTTCGCCCACTTTGAGCCCTATTTTCGGCTAATTCCATTGTTCCAGTTGCCCAAACTCATAGCTATTTTTTTAGAACTCCATTTTTTCTATCGATTGAGTACAAGAAACTGCCCATTTACCAATTTCAACTACCTAATAATGTGGTCAGAAATTTGCAATTTGGCCAATTTCACAAAAACTAAAAAATATGACAATTTCAAAATAAGGTCCAGAATGAACAATGCAGACATTCCTGGCTCTAAAATAACATTTTCTTTGTTCATCAGTCATGTCTTCAGGCCCCTCTGATATTACTCTTGCTTTCTATTTTGAATTTTTATTCAAACAAAAAATAGAAGACTTACTATTATGCAGATTACTGCAAAACTGTAATAATTGTATAAATAACATCAACCGATTCATGACTGCATATTAGAATGGCTAGTTGGACATTTATTGGACAATGGCATCATTTGTTTACATTTGAACATTGGCAAAAATCAAACATTTCCCCTACTTTGAGCTCCATTTCTAGGTTCTTTTTATAGTAAAAATCAACCAAAATCACCTCTATTTCTATAACATGTTTTCCATTCTATCAAATGAGACCAAGAAAACGAGAATACAACCATAAATACTATACGAAAATAGACCACCAAGTCGGCATTTTAATTAAAAAAAACGGTTGGAGTTTTTTTTTCTCATTATGCACTGCGTGCTCCAGGATTTTTTTTATATGGTGCACACTGACGACACAGACCCATTCTCTCACATGTGGGCCTACCAGCTTTCTCCTGCTTGATTTGAAGTCGCTAGAATTTATGAGTATATATACATCAAACACGGTACCTCGTAAGACGTACAGTGGACCCCCGCATAGCGATATTAATCCGTGCAAGAGACCTCATTGTTATGCGAAATTATCATTATGCGAATGAATTTTCCCCATAAGAAATAATGGAAATCAAATTAATCCGTGCAAGACACCCCAAAGTATGAAAAAAAAAAATTTTACCACATGAAATATTAATTTTAATACACACAAACTGAAAAAGGCATGCACAATTACACGACACTTACTTTTATTGAAGATCTGGTGATGATTGATGGGATGGGAGGAGGAGAGAGTGTTAGTGTTTAGAAGGGGAATCCCCTTCCATTAAGACTTGAGGTGTCAAGTCCTTTTCTGGGGTTTCTTCCCTTCTTCTTTTAATGCCACTAGGACCAGCTTCAGAGTCACTGGAGTTCTGTCGCACAACATATCTGTCCATAGTGGCCTGTACCTCTCGTTCCTTTATGACTTCCCTAAAGTGTTTCACAACATTGTCAGTGTAATAGTCACCAGCACGGCTTGCAATAGCTGTGTGAGGGTGATTTTCATCCATGAAGGTTTGCACTTCAAGCCACTTTGCACAGATTTCCTTAATCTTTGTAGTAGGCAATTTCTTCAATTTCTCTCTCCCCTCCTTCGAACCAGTTTCCTCAGGTCTGGCCTCTTGCTGTTGAAGTTGATCTATCAGCTCATCAGTGGTTAGTTCTTCATTGTCCTCCTCCACCAACTCTTCCACATCATCCCCACTAACCTCCAACCCCAAGGACTTTCCCAATGCCATAATGGATTCCTCAACTGGCATAGGATTCTCAGGGTTAGCCTGAAACCCTTCAAAATCCCTTTGGTCTACACATTCTGGCCACAGTTTCTTCCAAGCAGAGTTCAAGGTCCTCTTAGTCACTCCCTCCCAAGCCTTACCTATAAGGTTTACACAGTTGAGGATATTAAAGTGATCTCTCCAAAAGTCTCTTAGAGTCAGTTGAGTTTCTGAGGTCACTACAAAGCACCTTTCAAACAGAGCTTTTGTGTACAGTTTTTTGAAGTTTGCAATAACCTGCTGGTCCATGGGCTGCAGGAGAGGAGTGGTATTAGGAGGCAAAAACTTAACCTTAATGAATTTCATGTCCCCATAAAGTCGCTCTGCCACGTCTGTAGGATGACCAGGGGCATTGTCTAACACCAGGAGGCACTTAAGTTCTAATTTCTTTTCAGTTAGGTAATCTTTCACATTGGGGGCAAATGCATGGTGTAACCAGTCATAGAAAAAGTCCCTAGTGACCCATGCCTTACTGTTTGCCCTCCACAGCACACACAAATTTTCCTTGAGGACATTCTTTTGCCTGAACGGTCTGGGAGTTTCAGAGTGATACACTAATAAAGGCTTCACTTTGCAATCACCAGTAGCATTGGAACACATCAACAGAGTAAGCCTGTCTTTCATAGGCTTATGTCCTGGGAGTGCCTTTTCCTCCAGAGTAATGTAGGTCCTGCTTGGCATCTTCTTCCAAAACAGGCCTGTTTCATCACAATTAAACACTTGTTCAGGTTTCAGTCCTTCAGTTTCTGTGTACTCCTTGAATTCCTGCACATATTTTTCAGCTGCTTTGTGGTCCGAACTGGCAGCCTCACCATGCCTTATCACACTATGTATGCCACTACGCCTCTTAAATCTCTCAAACCAACCTTTGCTGGCCTTAAATTCACTCGCATCATCACTAGTTGCAGGCATTTTTTTAATTAAATCCTGATGCAACTTCCTAGCCTTTTCACTTATGATCACTTGAGAGATGCTATCTGTTTCTCATTTATCCACACCAATAAGAGTCTCTCAACATCTTCCATCACTTGCGATCTCTGTTTCGAAAACACAGTTAAACCTTTGGCAAGAACAGCTTCCTTGATTGCCTTTTTGTTGCCCACAATAGTAGCGATGGTTGATTGGGGTTTACTATACAACCTGGCCAGCTCGGAGACACGCACTCCACTTTCATACTTATCAATGATCTCTTTCTTCATCTCTATAGTAATTCTCACCCTTATTGCTGTAGGGTTGGCACTAGAAGCTTTCTTGGGGCCCATGGTCACTTATTTTGCAGATAAAATCACCAGAAACACTGTAATAATACGAAATGTTCCGATTGTATGCTTGGATGTTACCGCGGAGGCTGGCTGGTAACATGTAAGGCTGGCTAAGGGCGCACATTAGACGCGTCTCAGACGAACAGCGTTGAGCGGGTTTTTTAGCGGTATGCGAGGCAAAATCTTGGCGATAAAATGTAGCGGTATGCGGATTTAACGTTATGTGATGCCAACGGTATGCGGGGGTCCACTGTATATATACGGCCGCGACAGTCAAAGGGTTAAATTTAGTAATATATACAGGAGAAGGGGTTACTAGCCCCTTGCTCCCGGCATTTTAGTCCCCTCTTACGACACGCATGGCTTACGGAGGAAGAATTCTGTTCCACGTCTCCATGGAGATAAGAGGAAATAAACAAGAACTAGAAAGAAAATAGCAGAAAACCCAGAGGGGTGTGTATATATATGCTTGTACATGTATGTGTAGTGTGACCTAAGTGTAAGTAGAGGCAGCAAGACGTACCTGAAACCTTGCATGTTTATGAGACAAAAATGGACACCAGCAATCCTACCATCATGTAAAACAATTACAGGCTTTTGTTTTACACTCACTTGGCAGGACGGTAGTACCTCCCTGAGCGGTTGCTGTCTACCAACCCACTACCTAGAGTATTCAAAAATATAGATTCTTAATGCTTAATATTGAGCTTCAAACAAATGTAGCTTGCTACTGTTGTGAGCTGTGAAAGCAAAACTGGTTTTGTTTTCTTTAAATGCTGTACAAGTGACAAAATAAAAAGGTTAAATCAGATAATATTATCTCATTCTTATTATCTCTCTTATTTATAAGTAGTGCAGGCATTGAAGAGTGGAAATAATGCACTATCTTTATTTCAGGTAAACTCAGTTTGTCTGTTTTGAGTTTAGCTCTAGTGTTAACAGAAAGTTAATTTGTATAATGTTAATAACAATAATAATTTTTTTATCTCCATTTTAGGACATGCTGTCTGGATTGCTCAAGACAGCAGAGACCCTAAAAGTGAAAGGGTTGGCAGAAGTGTCAGGTGATCAACCTGTGGCACAAGTTGCCAACCCAATTCCACCCATCTTACGGCTTGGAGTAAGTCTCTTCTATGTATCTTTCTTATTCTTGCTATTACCTTGATGTAATGGACTAATGGGGGGATTTTCCAAGTATCCATTAAATTACAATAGTACTGTACACACAATTCATAGATATACTACAACAAATATTGAAAATAAAGGAGTTAAAAGTACAATTGTCCAGTGGATTTTGTTCGTTTTTCAGAAGTTAATTATACCAAAGTTTGTTATATCAAGGGTTCACTGTAATTTTTATATGTTATATATTCAGGTCAGTAGAAGTGCCATCAGCCTATGGTAACCCTTATCCCCTTACCAGCCATGACTTGTGTTTGAGTAGCATAGGCTAGTCTGAAGCAGAATCAATCATAATTCCCACAAAAATATTTCTATTCTCTTCATGCCTTGTGAAAAAACTAATTAAAGGTTTCAGGCAGTTTACACCTTGAATTCACAATTGTTCATCCTATGATGGCATAGTTGAATAATTTCAGATTTGGGCTAATTTAACTGTTGTAGCATACATTCTGTTCCTGGAAATGAAACATTTTCTTCATAGTTTAGATTAATTCTTGTTGCAGCCCTCCCATCCCCCGGCCCCTTCTATGCTACAACACTTTTACAGGTTGTCCCCCATATCCCACGTTCTCAAGAAATGTTACAACATTCCCGGCAGGCTACACTTCCTCAGATGGCACCGCCCAACAGCTCTCCGCTGACCACGGCCCTCAATGCTCCCATGGTCACACCACCAACAGTCACCCCACTATCTGCTTTGCTCAACCCATATGTAAGTTAATAACTTGGTTATTTACTTGTTACATAAAGTTGCAAGTGGTCAGTTTACAAATGAGTTGCATTCTGGGGTTTCCAGCTTGCAAACAGTTTACATTCCTAGTTTTTTAACTTCTAAATGAGTTGTTTACTATTTAGAAATCCTAAGTACAAAGGGTGATTGTGATTCTCACATGTTGTAAAACATTAATTGGTTCCTAAGTTCCCTATTTGTAAGTGAGGATGTGCATAATTTTGGGCCTTCATAAGGTATGGTCTTCTGAATATCCATTTACTGTGATGTCTCATATTTAGACTTGGCAGCTTATGTTATTATTAATAATAATAATAATGATAATATTTATTTTCCAAGAACATATATTTGTTACAAACATAGGCTTAGTGTATATTCATTACATTAGGCTGGCATGTTACAGTGGTTAAAGCAGTGGCCTGCTAGTTTTAGAATTAGACTCCAATAGTTTTGATTCTTGCCCATTCCATGAGCCATTCACAGTTGTGTTAATGCGATTTCACAAGTGATAGATGAGGGTCAGGCTGCAGGAGTAGGAGAATTCTTGAAACCTTTCAAGGGTATATCAAAGGTATTTCAAGTCTTCAAAGATATTTGAATTAGAACTTGCAGCAGCCATGTTGGTGGGAGATTTGTCTGTAAAAACTTGCATTTGTAGTCACAGTAGGGCATATGCTAACCTTCCTGGTGTATAGAATATGCCTAATTAGAGGAATGTTATTAAACCAGTATAGTACATTGGTTTAACCACTGGTCAACAAGTTTTAGGACATCATTCAAATTAGCATTAACTAAAGTGAAAAACGTACAGAAAAAAAAGGATCATATTTTCTTAAAATCCAAAGAGAGCAAACTTTTCGAAAATAGCCTAAAAATAGTCAATAGAATTACTTAACTTTATCTTTCCTAAAATTCTGGCTGCTTTTGCTTGTTAATATGCTTGTTAGTTTCTTCTTTCTTTCTTTCAACACACCGGCCGTATCCCACCGAGGCAGGGTGGCCCAAAAGAAAAAACCGAAGTTTCTCCTTTCAAATTTAGTAATATATACAGGAGAAGGGGTTACTAGCCCCTTGCTCCCGGCATTTTAGTCGCCTCTTACAACACGCATGGCTTACGGAGGAAGAATTCTGTTCCACTTCCCCATGGAGATAAGAGGAAATAAACAAGAACAAGAACTAGAAAGAAAATCGAAGAAAACCCAGAGGGGTGTGTATATATACGCTTGTATATGTATGTGTAGTGTGACCTGAGTGTAAGTAGAAGTAGCAAGACATACCTGAAATTTTGCATGTTCATGAGACAGAAAAAAAAGGACACCAGCAATCCTACCATCATGTAAAACAATTACAGGCTTTCGTGTTACACTCACTTGGCAAGACGGTAGTACCTCCCTGGGCGGTTGCTGTCTACCAACCTAATATCTCTATTTTGTACCCTATACCCATCCTGTGAGTGGTACAGATTACAGAGGAATATACCGGGTCTATAATGGATAGCTAAATAAGTTACAATGGTAATGACCTAATTTTTTTTTTCAACAAACCGGCCATATCCCACCAAGGCAGGGTGGCCCAATAAGAAAAACGAAAGTTTCTCTTTTTAAATTTAGTAATTTATACAAGAAAAGGGGTTACTAACCCCTTGCCCCCTGCATTTTAGTCGCCTGTTACAACATGCATGGCTTATGGAGGAAGAATTCTGTTCCATTTCCCCATGGAGATAAGAGGAAATAAACAGGAACAAGAACTAGAAAGAAAATAGCAGAAAACCCAGAGGGGTGCATATATATATGCTTGTACATGTATGTGGAGTGTGACCTCAGTGTAAGTAGAAGTAGCAAGACGTACCTGAAATCTTGCATAATGAACTAATTATATGATTATTTTTATTTTTTATTAACACACTGGCCGATTCCCACCAAGGCAGGGTGGCCTGAAAAAAGAAAAACTTTCACCATCATTCACTCCATCACTGTCTTGCCAGAAGGGTACTTTACACTGCAGTTTTTAAACTGCAACATTAACACCCCTCCTTCAGAGTGCAGGCACTGTACTTCCCATCTCCAGGACTCAAGTCCGGCCTGCCGGTTTCCCTGAATCCCTTCATAAATGTTACTTTGCTCACACTCCAACAGCACGTCAAGTATTAAAAACCATTTGTCTCCATTCACTCCTATCAAACACGCTCACACATGCCTGCTGGAAGTTAAAGCCCCTCGCACACAAAACCTCTTTGACCCCCTCCCTCCAACCTTTCTTAGGCCGACCCCTACCCCGCCTTCCTAAAAAGGCTAAAATTGTAATGAGTTATTTATGCAGACATGAATTAGGTCATTAAAATGGTATAAAATACCGACAGATTGTTAGGTAAGACACATATGCAACAGTTAGGTATCTTTATTTCGAAACGTTTCGCCTACACAGTAGGCTTCTTCAGTCGAGTACAGACAAGTTGATAGAAGCAGAAGATACTTGAAGATGATGTAATCAGTCCATCACCCTTAAAGTTTTGAGGTGGTCAGTCCCTCAGTCTGGAGAAGAGCATTGTTCCGTTGTCTGAAACAATATGAAGTTGAAGTGACAGGATGGAGCCTTTATATAGTGCCAGGAGGTGAGACGTAGGTTGGTTTGGGAGGGCAGGTCCCTCTCAAACCCAGCCGTACTCACTAGTAGAGGTCGAAGTTGATGGTCTGTACCAAGATACCCTTGTGTTGCAGTGTCTGACAGAATGAACATTAAAATGGTATAAAATACCGACAGATTGTTAGGTAAGACACATATGCAACAGTTAGGTATCTTTATTTCGAAACGTTTCGCCTACACAGGTCACAAAAATATTACCTTATTTTTTTAGCAAGGTATGTTTTAAGAAGAAAAAAAGCTTAAGTGGTTATGTGTTATTTACAGTGAGCAAAGAATGCATAACCACATAACCTGTTGCCTCTGTTCACTTAGTGATTAGGTACCTGGGTGTTAGTTGACTGTTGTGGGCTTTGATCCTGGGGCAGAGAATAAGATAAGAGATTTTGTTTGGATTTTTAACCCCGGAGGGTTAGCCACCCAGGATAACCCAAGAAAGGCAGTGTGTCATCAAGGACTGTCTGTCTGATTTCCATTGGGGTCCTGAATCTTGTCCCCCAGGATGTGACCCACACCAGTCAACTAACACCCAGGTACCTGTTTGCTGCTAGATGAACAGGACAACAGGTGTAAAGAAGCACATCAAAATGTTTCTATCCCACCGGGAATCGAACCTGGGCCCTCTGTGTGTGAAGCAAGAGCTTCACAAAGGATTCCAATGGATATAAGCCAGGCATTCTAATGACAGTGACTTTGTTAGATTATCCAGGTTTACTAACACTCTAGTTTAATAATATGAATGAAATTTTCTTGCTCTTTTTCATCACCGACTATCAGCTGCCCTTAAAATTGTTAAAAAAGCTACAGTGGAGATCGTAAATATGACACGGTGTAATATTTGTACAATCACCTAGTGTACCACCATTAATCTGGGTAAAGCTGGTTACTGACTCAGTTGAGCGTGTATTCCTTCCACAGAAACTGGGAAGCAGGATTCGCTATGGTATAAGATGTGGTGACTTGAAAACCACTCAAGACCCAAGAGCAGCACCACAGTTAAGATAATGCTGTACACTCATTACATAACATTCCTCAATTTTTCCTTAGTGGAGTAACTGAAATTTGTCCTTGATAAACATTATATTATTTTCAGTGGCCCACTGGAAGAGTTAGCTTATATCAACTTGGAGATTTGTTGTATCTCCAATGGATACCACCCTCATATAAATTCTAGTATCATCTTCAAAAGGACAGTATGGTGCTACTATTTTATATATCTGTCCATGTTATATATAAAGATGAGAATGATAATTGAAACAAGAACTCTGTCTTGACGAACAGAGCTTTTCACTATGGCAGCTTCTGATTTTATTTTCTTCACTATTATTCTTTGCATTGTGTTTGTTAGGAAGTTAAAAATCTTACTACTTGCTTTTCCACTTATTCCTCTTATATGCATTTTGTACACAATTAATGATGTGATCACATTTGTCAAAGGCTTTTGCAAAGTCTTTGTACACTAGGTCTGCATTTTATTTATTTTCCATTGCCCTCAAGGCCATGTTGTAATGGTCCAGTAGTTGTGAGAAACAGGGGTGTTCGACTATGAACCCACATTGCCCAGAATTGTGTAATTCTTGTGAATCCATGTGAGTTGAATAATGTGATGTGCAAGTACTATTGGTCTATAGTTTCCTGTGATTGCTTTGCTACTACTTTTGTCAAGCCCTTTTAAGAACATAAGAAAGAAGGAACACTGCAACAGGCCTACTGACCCATGCAAAGTAGGTCCATTACCCCCCCCCTCCCTCCTGGATTAGCCCAATGACCCACCTAGTCAGGTCACGGCATCAGACCTAGTAGTACAAGCTAGTCAGGTCCAACTCACACCCACTCATGTATTTATCTAACCTATTTTTAAAACTACACAATGTTTTAACCTCTGTAACTGTACTCGGGAGTTGGTTCCACTCATCCACAACTCTGTTACCAAACCAGTGCTTTCCTATATCCTTCCTGAATCTGAATTTTTCCAACTTGAAACCATTGCTGCGAGTCCTGTCTTGGCTGGAAATTTTCAGCACGCTATTTACGTCCCCTTTATTTATTCCTGTTTTCCATTTATATACCTCGATCATATCATCCCTAATTCTATGCCTTTCAAGAGAGTGCAGATTCAGGGCCCTCAGTCTATCCTCATAGGGAAGATTTCTGATACATGGGATCAACATCGTCATCCTCCTCTGTACGTTTTCCAGTGCATTTATATCCATTCTGTAATATGATGACCAGAACTGTGCAGCATAATCTAAATGAGGCCTAACCAAGGATATATAGAGTTGAAGAACAACTTGAGGACTTCTATTATTTATACTTCTATATATGAAGCCAAGGATTCTGTT